ACTTGCTTTAAGGTGATTTACATCTCTGGGGAGAGTAGTTCAATTGGTGCAGTAGAGATATATTTAGCATGTCGCCTCCAATATACTATAGCTTTACAATAACACTTTATGAATCTGCACTACCCATAAAGTCACCTAACTCAAAACATTTTTCTTTACCTAAAAGTATTTAGAAGATAAAGTAAGATGAGAAACTAGAAAAATGTGGAGGAACTTCCTACTTTTTTAGCAAAGAGATATGTCCTATTTATAAGACTCATGGTCTTATAACTCTTATTTGTAAGTTAATGATAGGAATAAATTAGGTAATTATTACGTAATAATGTGCCTTTAAGTAGGATAATTAACCTACAATGGCTAATTTGATCAAGTTCTTAATGAGACAATAAATTTAATTTATAAAATATATTATTTTATTTTTTATTAAAATATTTAAGTTCCAATAATTCTCCCATTATTTTAATAAAAAATAAACCTTTCTTTTGAGTAAAGATAGATTATTATGCATAATAAAAGTAGTTAAGTCTCGAATCTTTATGTAGTGAGTCAACATTTCTTAATCTAAAGTCAATAGTGAACTAAGTCTTGAACTATGACCTCATTGAAAAATACAAGAATCGTATCACACACATAATGATATGAATGTTGAGTTTTTTACACAAATGACGCATTATGGTCTTGCACATGATCCTGGTTTTCTTAAGTGATGTAGAAAATTACTTATCTAATTTTCATAAAAGCGGCCTCACTTCCACACTTATATAGGTGAAATTTGTCAAGAGTGCTCTCATAACTAAAACACCATGCTTTATGAGTTATAAATTTTATTAAGAGTATATAACTCAACCCTCAATTCTTTATGAGATAGATGCATCCTCAACTATGTCAAAAAAACCACATCCAGCTCTTTTTTTTTTTTTGACAAAATCACTTAGAAACTCAAATTAGTCCTCTTTATTTTCTAATTGAAAGCATTTAAAACCCCTCTTGATTGCAGTTCTCCACCCAACCAATATGAACTTAGCCATGTGCTTAGTACAAAACTCACTACAAACCGGCTTCCACTTCAAACCCAACATCTCCATTTTTTTTTTTTTTTTTGCTTGCAAGCCGAAAATCACCAGCAAAATTTGCCAATAAAATTAAAGAAAGAAACAGAGCCTTATCGGGGCATACTGTGCATTGCAGATTTTCCTCCTTTCCCTTCCTTGAGCATTTCTATGGCATCCTTCGGGTGGGAGTGGGATGGCATTAAAATTCAAGTGTTTTAGGTGAAGTTAGGCACCATCACTTGGAAATTTTGTGCATCTTTTTTCCTCCTACTTTAGTACCGCTTCACATTTCCCTCATCAAACCCCTTGCGAGGCATTAATATTAATAGATACAATAATTTTTTACTTTTTTATAGTTAAACTTGTATCGAATCATAGACAACCATTAAATGAGGAGGATAGTTTCACGTTTAAAGACACTCTTTCATCAATTGTTAATATTGTACAATCCAATACAAATTACAGTACGAACATAATACTTTTTTTTTTGATAAAAAAGAAATATTCTAAAAGTAAAATGTTTCCTCACAATGTTGACCGTTGACTTAGAAAATTGGGCTCACACATCCTCTCTATTAGGCCCACTTGCCTATTTCTCTAATAGGCCCAATATTATCTCCATCATAGTACCGAGCCCACTTAAGCATTCAAATAGTTCAAGTGCATGTCATCTATAATAATAATAATAATAATTATTATTATTATTATTATAAAAATTTATTTATATACAAATTTTACATATTATATTGATATAAAATCTCAACCATTTATCCTTTAATTTTT